TAGACCAGGTTGCTGCAAGCCCTGTCCTGCCTGGCCTTTATCCAGAGACTGACCTCATATTAGGTGCTAATGCAATGGCTCCTGCTCAGGGTGGCTTCTTGTCCCCAGGCCACCTAATCTTCCTCTACAGTCTTCCCAGGAGTCTCCTGTTGGAAGGGGCCACCTGTTCTAGTGGTATCTAGAAGGTATCTCTGCCCATGGTGTGGGGGTTGGAACTAGATGAGCTTTTAGGTCCATTGCAACCCAAGTCTTTCTATGATTCTCTTACAATATTTCAGGTTTATTTGTCTAACTACAGTGGTATAAATGGATTTGAAAAGATCCTGGGAGCTTGTTGCTAATTGCTGACATGGAGATGCTTGGTAGCAGAGACGTTTAGGATTTGGTTGAGTGGATTAGTGCATTTTATGGATATCAGGTGCCTGTCTGCTTCACCCCTTCTCACCCAGGTTGAGGTCCCAGAAGTGTGCCCAGGTGGTCAAGAAGGTCAATAGCATCCTGTCTTGTATCATCAATTGTTTGGCCAGCAGGACTAGGGGAGTGATTCCTGCTCTGTACTCAGCACTGGTGAGGTCACACCTCGAGTGCTGTGCTCAGTTCTGGGCCCCTCACTGCAAGAAGGACATTGAGGTGCTGGAGTGTGTCCAGGGAAGGGAATGGCACTGGGGAAGGGACTGGAAGACAAGTCCTTTGAGGAGAGGCTGAGGAAACTGGGAGTGTTTAGCCTGGGGAAGAGGAGGCTCAGGGGTGACTTTATCACTCTCTTCAACTCCTTGACAGAAGGTTGTAGTCAGGTGGGAGTCAGTCTCTTCTCCCAAGTAACTAGCAACAGGACAAGAGGACATAGTCTCAAGCTGCACCAGGGGAGGTTTATGTTGGACATCAGGAAGAATTTCTTTACAGAAAAGGTTATTAGACACTGGAATGTGCTGCCCAGAGAGGTGGTGGAGTCACCATCCCTGGAGGTGTTTAAGGAGAGACTGGACCTGGCACTTAGTGCCATGGTCTGGTTGACATAGTGGTGTTAGGTCATAGGTTGGATTTGATGATCTCAGAGGTCTTTTCTAACCTTAATGATTCTGTGATTCTAGGTCTCCAACAAATCCCATCATCAGGCCTGAGAGAAGATGGTTGGGGAGGGAGGGGAAAATTGGCTCTCTGTATATATGACATATATATATATATATATGTCATTCTGCAAAAGAGCCTTGTTGGCTAGCGAATCCATTCCTACTTCTGCGGAGCACAGGGATGCCAGCATGGATTGTAACCTGTGAACTCAGGTCAGTATGCTGAGCTGGAGATGTGGATTATGTGCCTTTCCAGTTCAAGTCAGTAAAACAAGCAGTCTCCTACAGCAGAGAGGCCTCTTTGGGTTTAGCTGCAGAGCCTCCTGGGCTCTCCCCTTGGTGTCAGCCTTGGTTATTTGTGTGTGTGCACTCATGGATTAATTGTAAACTGATCACAGCAGCAGGGCCTGAGCACTCTGCACTGCCAGCACAGCCTGATGTCATACAGTCCCTGGGGAGACATTGTTTGCCAGGGCTTTGGGAAAGGCCCAGACAAGGGGAAAAGCTTTCCTAGCTGCAGAGAGGGAAGGTGAAGCAAGGGGAATCCGGTCCAACTGGTTGGGTTGCTGCAATCACATGCAAGGGGAGGATCTGTGGAGAAAGGCAGCCAAATGGAGGATGGGGACATGCTTGTTAATACTGGAAAAGAGGCAAATCGTGCCAACAATTCCTTGGCTGCTGCCGAAGGCAGTGGGGAAGGGGCTGTGTGTTCCCATGCTCCTGATGGCATGGAGCTGATTTAAACGGAGTTTCCCTGAGGATGTGGAAGGAATTGCTTCACTGCAAAACCCATGGCAGGATGGAAAGAGTTAAACAGGAGTGAATTCTCTGTCTCCTCGAAAGTGAAGCTAGATTTGTTTTGACTAGTTCACTTAATCTGTTGATGTGGAAGAGAGTGAGCCAGTTACTCCCTTGTCTCTGGAACTCAGATGGGAGAGATTTATCTTTGCAAATTGGTGATTGCAGATTGTTTTAATGAGAAGAGGATGTAGCTGTGATCATGAATGGGGAGTGTGTGCAGCAGAAGCTTTCCCCCTTCATGTGGCAGAGAAAGCCTTTTATATCAAGCCAAGGGTGAGGAGGGGACAGGCAGGACCTCCTCTGTCCCCCTCTGGTGCATCTTGGTCTGATTTTATTCCCAGGGAACATGTTTCTGAGCCCTAAATCCCAAGGTCCTACTTCAGTTTTCCCTTAGTCCTCTGTTAAACACCATTAGAGGTGAAAGTTATATGCAAAACAGGGGTAGGAAAAGGGAATATTCCTTAATTCACTGTATCTGAAAAGACAAAGACATTTGGCAACTATTTTTCTATTTGG